TTCATTAATTCTTGTATCATGTTTATTGAGCTGCACTATGGAGAAAAGCATAAGCAGCTTCTGTGATGCACTGCAGCTTCGGTCGTGACTTAGTCATCCTCGGTCAGCCTGACTCATCAAGCCTCGGTTGTGGCCTAGCCAATATCGGTCAGCCTGGTTTGACCATCTCGATCGTGTCTCCTCTGCTGTCTCGGTCACTAATTAGTCCTGGTCTAGGCATGCTTGGCCAAATGCATGATTAGTTAGCTCTTGAGTGTTTTTTATGTAACAGAGCTTCTTATATCATGTGTAGCACGTTTTCATTGTGCTTTTATTTAAGCACGTGTATTTTTGTTAGTTTGTTAAAGATTAGTTTTAGTTAGTTTTGTTTCTTGCTTTGTAATAAAGTCTTGATCCTTGTTTCTATAAAAGGATCAATAGGAACTCTTGTATTTTTTACTTCAATCAATACAAAATCTATGAGTTTTATTTCTTTATATTCAATGGAGTTTTCTATTATTGCTCGTTGTCTCCGACCGTTTATGAACGTTTTCTATTCAATGGAGTTTTCTATTATTGTAACATTGTAACTAAATGGCTGTCAGACTTCGTCAAATGGGAATGTATATGAACCAATAAAAAAATGTATCCGATGATAATATGAGTTTTATATATTTTTATTATATCATTTATCATTCATGCTTAATTATCATTGTTTCTTTAAAAAAATAATACAAATAAATGATAAATAATGTATTGAATATGTATAAATTGTTACATTAACATAACATACACTCTATGAAAATACTGTATATAAAAAATATGTATAATTGATGTTGTGTTTTCCTATGATATAAAAAATATGTCTGACATATAGGATGTTTAAGCACTAAGGAAGAATGACAGCTAGAAAGTGAGGCGTTCCGACAGAACGCAGATATGTTGTCCCAATGCTGTCACGGACCAATCATATTATATTATTTAATTAAAATAAAAAATTATAAAAATAAAAAATAATATTTTATATTACTTAATACATTTCTATTAGACGAGGACAAGAAAACAGAATCCATTTGGGACAGAGAATTCCTATTCATTCCGCTAAAGGTCCATATTTCATATAAAACAAAGAACCAATCATGTTCGATTGTGACCCTTCTATATGCTGTGTTTGAACCACAAAAATTAAACATGTATTCAATTATGCTGAATCGTGCTAATTTTTCTGAGTATAAGGTACTTTAAAGCATATAGTTGTGTAGATTACAATGTTGAGATAGAATGAGAACTAATTTTGCTAGTAGTGAAGCTACGTGAAATAAATGTACACTAGAGTTTTGTTTAAAATGATGTAATCAACATGCTTGGTTTATGTCTAGAAGTGTAATTTACATATATCAAATTGTATCAGAAATCCGCATAAGTGAGTTGCAGGTCGTAGCGACCCAACCCACATAATACTAAAAAAATTATTTAAATTTTTAACATATTTAATTTATTTAATATATATATATATTATTTGATATTAATGTATAACTTTTTTAATACAATTGTTATACTCAATGCAACCAAACTTATAGATCCAATGCTTTGTGAAATGACCCAAACTGAATAAATTTTAATCATGTTTCTCTTTGGTTTATAGTAACGGTAGTATATACTCATATTGAGAATGAATTCTATTTGTTAAAGTATAAACATCATCATAATATATTATTATTATTATTCTTTACTTTCTGTATCAAGATTCTTTGTATTCTATTTACCAACACTTTTATTGTGAATTATTATGTTAAATTTGGTTGTGTAGCGTTTACAAATTAAATATACAATTAAGAAATGAAAAATAAAATATACATGGTTTAATGTCTTCTCATTTAATTTGATACAATATTTTTTATTGTGCTTAAAAGGATATTATGCAAAATAAAAAAATAATATAATGATTAACTTGATAAAATTATTGTAAATTATAAATATTTACGTTATAAACATTACTCTATTTTTTTATTTAAAGTTCTTAACACAATATTTATTATATATTTTTTATTATAAGTTATTTTGTAAAATATTTTTTTACTTAAGGCTTATTACCAAGCGAAAGGTCCTAATTTTTTTTTAAAATAAGGAAAAATGGGTAACCCGAACCCGCCCGGGTAAGCGCGGCCCGAGCTCACTCGAGTAAGTGCGGCTCGAGCCCGATTATAATATAGCCCGACCATTTCAGGCTAAAAAGTTCAGTTTCACTAAAAAGTACCTAATATAATACCCAAGCCATATAAAATTTTGGGCTTTGGCGGGTTGGCCAGACCGGACCACCCATTTTGACACCTCTAATTTATGGGTTACATCTTGCTATCATAAATGTTAAACTTTTTAAAATATAATATAAAATTTATTGCCACTAATACTAATAAATCTAAATTTAGAGACATAATAAAATTTAAATCGCGCCTATTTATAAATATAAATTATTAGAATTAGTACCATACAAAATGTGTCCAAAGGAGATTTAGAAATAAATATTAGAAATAATTATAGTGTATTTGAAATATTTGAAAATTACATTTGCAATTAACTTTTTACCAATTAAATATTAGAAGAGGTTTAAACATGACATAAAGCACAAATCAAAATAAAATGTTTAGTTTAATTTTTAACCAAATACAAATAACTTTATATTTACATTAAAATTATAAAAACTACAACAACTAAGTCCTAATTTAGGTCAATTATATAGATTGAAAAACGTCATAATGATCTATCATAAATTATGTTAAACAATAAATTATTGACATATAAAGCTTTCATAATCATTTTGTTTATGCTTTTTGGTCTTTATTTTCCTCATTGAATTGTGCTAGGGGTGAACAGGACCCGCCACTACTCGTTCACCCGGTTTGGCCCGATCATGATCAGACCGAAATAGGGTCGAGTTTCATCGCGTCTATGACCTGATTTGTCCTCACGATTGCTCAATAATCATGTTTTTATGTATCTCTATTCAATTGTGTACATAATAATGACATTTTTTGGGCACAAAATAACATTAATTATTTAATTTTTTCACATGTATACATGATTAACCATATATAGATATATCATTTAATATGTCAAAGGCTAATATGGATAAACATTACATTTAATCAAGTCCATGAGCGAGTTCAAAGGCTAACCCAATCCACATATGGGCTCGGGTTGACTTCGACTCATGCTCACCCTTAAATTATACTTTTATTTATTTGATCTATTCTCCTTATTAAGGACTTAAATCAGTCTTATTCACACATGTCCAATACATCAAACGTGGAATTATAGCGATCAAAATTATAAAAAATAATTACTTATTTATACCATAAAAAATTACCTAATTTTTGGATTAAATCTATATATTTTTTCAAAATACCTCTTTCCAACAATTTTGGAAAATGATATTTGAAAGAGAAAAAAAAAACATTTTCCAATAATTTTCCCACCAACTTCACGATCGGTGTGCAAAATCGAAAACAAATTTCATGGAACAAAAACTATTTTATCGGATTTTTTCTCTCGATAACATTTTGCTCTACAAACAAATTAAGCATATATTGAATTACTGTAATTATCACATCTTTTAAAAAAATATAAAAAAATTAACAAAGAAAAATAAGAAAAAAAAAACTGAAACGTCTACACTGTAATCACGATATTCATGATGATTCAAATATCAAAATTCCGTTTTTGGAGATTCTTGATCTCTTGCATTATATCAAAGGATGAAGAAAAAAAGGGTTTGCAAGAAGCAAGTAGAAAGAGTTCCAAAATGGGTTACTCACTATTGCAGTGATCATAAGATACTGTTAGTGGGTGAGGGTGATTTCTCTTTTTCATTATCTTTGGCACAATCTTTTGGTTCATCTTCCAACATTGTTGCTTCATCTCTTGATTCCTATGGTATCTTCTATCTTTTTAATGTTTTTTATTCTTCCATGTTGTGTTAGTGTTTTTCTTCAAATAGTATTCACTCAGGGCATTGGACTCAGGACATTGGTTAAGAAGACCCATATTTTATTATCTTTACTTGTGTGTTTTGAAAATGATATGAAAGGTGTTTATTTGTGTAAAGATTTTAACTTTTTTTATCTTCTACCTTTTGTGACTTTTCAAGAATCAAACTAAGTAAATAAGTAATATTCTAGTTGCTGGATAAATTTTAGGTTTCTATAGCTTTGTGAATACGTGATGGGCAGTCCAACAGTATTTAAATCATTTCCGATACAATGAGGGAGCCAATGTGAGACTTACTTCCCAATATCCCTCCACATAACTGTATTTTGGCTCATGACAACCGGAAAAAAATTGGGTCATGTCTCTAATATTATGTTAAGTTTTAATCTTAAAACCAATTGGCAATGAGAGATTTAGCCCAACAATTATTTAAATCATTCATGAGACAATGAGATGTAAGCGATGCTATACTTACTTCCCAACAATCAGTCGTTAGTGATATGCATGTAGCTTTTGCATTTGTGATTTTTCTTTCTAAAACAAGCATTTTGTCATTTGGGATTATTCCCTTTTGATTGTGTAACTTGTTATGAATTTGTTGCCCACTTTATAGGATTTTGAATATTTGATCCATTTGGTATTTTGTATTGTTTTAAGTTTTAGGAATGAGTTTCACTTATTGCTAATTGGTTAAAACTTTCAGCTTGTTCTTTTTATCCACTATTTCAGAAATTGCTTGTGAAGTTTTTTTTTGCATCCACAGTGTAGTATCTCAATCATTTATTAACAATGAACATTGTTGAAATTATTGAGATAAATACAAGATTGTCTACATAATTAGAAATTCTATATCTGATTTGGGCTAAATATATGAAATTATGGCTGATTGCATACAAATCACGCAAGTAATTCAAGTAGACAATTTGTCCCTTCCAAATAACACCATATAGATTTTTACCAGTGAAAAAACTAAGTTCAAAATGTGGCGAGACAGTTCGGTCCGTATCCGGTGTGGGCATTAGAGCATTTAGAGGACCTTTCCCTAGTACGAGAGGACCGAGAAGAACGCACCCATGGTGTACCAGTTATCTTGCCCACGGTAAACAATGGGCAGCCAAGTGCAGAGCGGATAACTGCTGAAAGCATCTAAGAATTGAAATAATGGATAGCTTTTTGAAGTTAGAGTTTTCAAGATCCAATAATTATCGGTTGTTGCTTCTCCAATTTATTTCTTCTCAATTTTCACTCAAACAAGTACATGTTACTTACTTTCGCTATGTTTATTTCTCTGGAAAGTTCATATGATTTTTTCTTTCCTATTCTTTTGTACTTGTTTATTAAGATGTTGTTACCAAGAAATACAAGCATGCAAAGTCAAATTTAGATGATTTACAAAAGTTGGGAGCATGCTTGTTACACGGAGTGGATGCAACGAAAATGAAGTTTCATTCCTATTTGGAAGTGCTGCGATTTGATCGAATCATATTCAACTTCCCTCATGCTGGTTTTCATGGGAAGGAAGACAATTCAACAATGATTGAGTAAGTTCTCTACTTGAATTCAATGTTATGATTAATTAACATCATAAGTGCATTATAAAGGACAATAGTTTTTTTGAAATATTCATTGTTTTTCTATGCTGTCTTTAGGCCAATGTAAACCTTTTATGTATCATACTTTAGACATCGAAGCGTTTAATGACCGTTCTCCTAAATTTATAGGATGCATAAGAACCTTGTGCTGGGTTTCTTTGAAAATGCAAGTTGCTTGCTTCGATTCAATGGTGAAGTTCATGTTAATCACAAAACCAACGCTCCGTTTAGCCACTGGAACTTAGAAGAGCTTGCTATACAAAGTTTTTTGACATTGATTAAGCGTGTTGAGTTCCGGAAAGAAGATTATCCAGGTTATAACAATAAGAGAGGTGATGGTAATAGATGCGACGAACCCTTTCCACTTGGTGAGTGCAGCACTTTTAAGTTCATCTACAATCCTAGAGCTTTGGGAAAACGTAAGAGGATAAGTGATATGACTTATAGACAACAAAGAAATCTCCCATTTCAAGAGATTCAAGAGGCTGTGGAAAACTTACCAATTTCAGTAGATTTCAGCTATTATCCTCAAACTAATCACTTTTCAAGACTAAATGAAGCAGTGTCATCAACTTTTGGGTACACTCCAACCTCTGGTAGCTACTTAAACAATGCAGCATTAGTTCACGAACGAGTTGCTCCTTTCGCTCATTATACGAGTCTAGGTTCTCAGAGATCTTTGCAGCCAAGGCAATCATTTGGTGGTGACTCAAATTATTGGGAAGGAACACGTGGTCGAACAGTTGAGAACGCAGGTTATTCTTTTGGAAGCGTAAGGTCTGACTTAGATAGGTTCATTTCTGAATTTCCTAGGATAACACTGAGTGGTGCCAGAAATGAAGGGTATTATTTGCAAGAATCTCCTGGTAGAACGGCTGAGAATTTTGGTTATTCTTTTGATACAGTAAGGTCTGACTTTGAGAGGCACACTCCTGAGGCTCCTAGGAGAACTCTGAGTGGTGCTAGAAATGAAGGGTATCATGCATTAGGTGGCAGCTCAAATTATTTGCAAGAAGCGCCTGGTAGAATGTCCGTGATTGCGGGTTATTCGTTTGATAGGGTATGGTCTAACTTTGAGAGGTACATTGCTGATGGTTACAGGAAAACTTGGAGAAGTGACAGAAATGAAGGGTATCATGCATTAGGTGGCAGCACAAATTATCTTCAAGAATCACTTGATAGAACGGCCGAGAATGCAGGTTATTCATATAAGGCCAGACTTTGAAAGGCACATTCCTGACATTCCTCGGAGAACTTCGGGCGGTGATAGAAATGAAGGGTATTATTCACTTGGTGGCAGAGAACCTGAAACTGTAGGGTATTCATTTGATAGGGTAAGGCCTAAGGAACAATATGAGTGTAATTTACTCTTAAATATATAATAATTGCTTATAATTTCAAATGTTTATTTTTAGCACTTCTTTATAAGATTGAAGGTAGAAAAAGTATCAACAAAACGTTGGTATAGTGGTATAAGACCATACTAAATCCACTGAAAAATAAAAGTTTCATTCTTGTGAGCGACATTTTTCGGGAGTGACTGTCACACATACTGAAAAATATTAGTTCCTTACTTTTAAGATGATGAGATGTACTAAATAGTAAAAAAAATGTAGAAAAAAAATAATATTTAGCTTACACCTAAAGTTTTGTATCTCTTAAAAGTTTTATTATATTTTTTATCTTTTATCGTAATTTCAGATTTAGTCTTCTATCAAAAAATGTATTGTTATGGAAGTTCATCCATACAATATTTCAAATACTAGTAAGTGACAAAATTGATCATAAACTTTATTTCCACCTAGTCATGCTACATGTATACATAGGATAACTTCACATTCGTTGAGTAAAAACACAAAGCCACTGTTTTGTTTATGATTGCAGAGAAACAGAGGGAAGAAGATTCAGAGAAAGAAGATAGTGTGAGTGTTGGTGCGTGAGTGAGTGAGGGAAAAGTAAAGAGAGTTTTTGGTAATTGCGGGAATGGTTTTCTCAATGATATTTATTATTCAAACACCAGAAAAGTATATATGCACATATTAAGCACGTGTGCTTTTTAACAAACAACTAACAATTAGCCGCATGCTAATAATAGAAAGCTTTCTAACTAACCTAACTAAATGACTTTCTCTTTTTGGATTACTTTCTAACATCCACCCTTAAACCAAAAAGAGTTTACAAACATCAAACAAAGTACACTAAGCTAAATGTCAAAACCAAAAACAGTAGGCTAAAAGAACAACAATCTGCAGAAAATTTAAAGTCTTCAATGCCTTCAAACAATGCCTTCAAATCAAAACTTCACCACTCCTAACTTCTTCCTTAGCTTCTCAAACCTTTCAAACTTCAATGGTTTTGTCATTATATCAGCTATTTGAAATTCAGTGGGACAATGAACCAATTCAACTCTTTCCTTGCTAACTTGATCTCTTATGAAGTGGAACTTGGTGTCAATGTGTTTGCTTCTTCCATGGCTTACTGGATTCTTTGCTAAGTTGATGGCTGATTTATTGTCTACCATTAGCTCAAACTTTTCTGCATCTCCACACTTCAAATCTGCCATTAGAGAGCTTAACCATAGACCTTGACAGGTTGCATTGCAAGCTGCAATGTACTCAGCTTCACAAGTTGAAAGTGCCACCACACTTTGCTTCTTTGAATTCCAAGAGATTGGTGCACCACACAAGTAGAACACATGTCCAGAGGTGCTTCTCCTATCTTCTTTGTCCCCACATCAATCTGAATATGAGAAACCAGTTAGCTGCAAGATGCTTGTTGTCCTCTGTTTTGGGAACAAAATGCCATAGTTCAGGGTTCCTTTTAGATACCTCAATATCTTCTTTGCTTCAGCCATGTGTGCTTGTGTAGGATTAACCATATGCCTACTTATCAAGTCTGCTCCATAAGCAATCTTTGGCCTGCTATGACACACAAACCTGAGACAACCTACTATTTGCCTGAATAAGGTTTCATCAACTGAATTTTGTTTGGCCAATTCATCTGATTTTATGCCTGCTTCAACTGGAACTACAACATGCGCAAGGACCCAAATTTTACCCTTGAAATTTTATCCTTATTTTATTCATCCTTCAAACATTTCCTGACGACTTTTATATAAAAATACTAACAACTCATACTAAGTCTCATTTCCCTACTCATACCCATTTCATAATCTCAAAATGACATACATATTCGCATAGCTGAAAATCATAATTCATTCATGCACCCCGGTAACTACCGCATACAATTAGCTATGGGATTCCAAAATACCATAGCTACGAATATCCAGAGTTACAAATATTCATGTTCAAAATACAGTTAGTCATATTACAAAAGAATGAATATAAGGACTTCAAAAAGAATGAAAGCTTCTAAGCTCCTAATCAATACATTCTTACATCTTCCACCTACCTGCAATGAGATTAACATTGACCATACACAGAAAACACAAAGGAGTAAGTCATTAACGTAAAATAATGTCAATATACGTTAATCCACATTTTAATAAAGTTAAGTAAAAACATTAGAATTAAATGTACTTAAAACCATTATCTTTGTTTATACTTTTGAAAACATGCTACATAACTTGAGCTAAAGTTTGCTACATTGCTTGAATCAAAACTTGTTACATTGCTTGAGCCAAAGCTTGCTACATTACTTGAGCCAAAGTCGCTAACCAATAATGGTCGGCTAAAAACGAGTTTTATTTCCATTGGCACTCCACCAATACATAAATAGTGAATCTACCCCATCATCATTACAAACATACCCATATATGCTTATAACAATTAAGTGATTCACAATTCATTTCATTATTCCGAGTTTTATTTCCATTGGCACTCCACCAATACATAAACGATAAATCCACATCATCATTATAAATATACCCATATATGCTTATAACAATTAAGTGATTTACAATTCATTTCGTTATTCATAACCATAAAATCCACGCATTTTGTAACACCACGAATTTTCTGATTTGGAATTATGATTTTTGAGTTTTTATTTTTAGAAAATGAATTTTCTGCACTAATTGGTAAGGAATTTGGCTAAGCCACAGTTAAGTTTTAGCTTTGTTTGATTATTTCCTATTTTATGGGAAATTTTGATAATTTCGGAGACAGTGGGTTCTGGACCACTGTCGGGGATAAATTCCGCTCGATACGGCTCAAAAATGTGATTTTGAGTTCCGTAACTCGGAATCGAATTCCGATCGCTCCGTTGGCTTCGTAATTTCATTTCGAGTCAATCTAGACCCCGAATGTACCCATATCTATTTTCTAAATATTTTCACTCCAAATTCTGTGTTTCGAAGTTCTAACCGTAAACCAAAATCGGGAGATTGTATATTTCCGGACGAAATTATCCGAAGATGTTCGGACACGACTTTTATTGGGAAATTACATCATATCAATAAAGTTGGAAGTCATCATTTCATGAGCCACTTACTTGTTACACAAGTAATGCAAAAGCTTCCAAAAACCCCTAAAACACTCAACAAATCCTCTCACTCCACCACCATTAGACACATCACCTATGCTAGTCTAAAGCTACTTACTTTG